GGTGAGAAAAATTTTGCACTTTTCTGTAGAATATTGGAGAAAAGAAACGGAAAAATTTTAACATAAACAGTATTTTTATTTTTTCCCCGAAAGTACCACGAGGTTCATATTTTCGCTCAGTTTTTTTTTCTGCTTTTGAAGAGCACATCAAATGTATGGTTAAAAAAAGTAATAAAGGTCATAGAAAGTTCTTAGTTGCGAACTGCTGAGTAACAGCAATTGTCGAATGCGGATACAGTGACAAGACTTTCTGGTAGGGCTTTTGGAAAAAAAATTATACTTTACTTCACTATATATTTACTCATTTACTTATTGCTTAGGTAACAGAAATACGGTAAATTAACTGAACTGAAAAAGTATGAAAGTAGTTATTGTTGTTGTTGTTGTTGTTGTTGTTGTTGTTGTTGTTGTGGTAATTCTTCTTCCTTCGTCTGCTGATTTGCCTTCAGTTCAATTAGCCATTTACGGTTGCACCTCGAAAAAAATTTTTTTGAGACATCAGAGTGAATGTGTCGACCTCCAGCTGTTTTTTTTTTTCCTTTAATGTTGCTTGTTGGTCGTACGCAAAGCCCCCAAGAAAAAAACTGAAAATAAAAACAGAAAAATAAAATAAAACTATCGTTTTATATGAACCGTTTTTTCTTTCTCTCTTTTATTTTGTTTTTGTTTCTTGTACGAAGTCAATGTGGTGTCACCGTTCCTCTTCTGCTCACCAAAATTGTCTGAAGAGTACATTTTTAAATGTTTTTGTGTATGATTCCGTGTGTATTTTTTTTTTATCGAGTAGATGATAGATTTTAGTAGAGTTCAAAGGTGGACTTTTAAATTGATTAGGACTGGATCGAAATTATCTGAAAGGGTTGAAGGAGAAGAGAAAATTGAAAAATTATAATAAAGGAAAAGAGAAAAACAAAGAAAAGAATAAACTTTTATGTGCATTGCTGCTGAAAACCGATATAATGTTTTTATTGAATAGGGTTGTCTTGCCAAGAAGCTTAAGCGAGGTCATTGCTGATTAAGTTTTGAAGGCAAAACTTGTTATCTAAGAACTGTGAGCAGTTAGCAACAATGACTTTAGCGATAATACTAAAGACAGTTGTAGAGTTAGTAGTAGTGTGGCAATGATGAAGTAGAAGTAGTAATCAAACTTGAAAATATAGTAACGGGGGCCAGCCAGTTTAGTTGGTTGGCGGTGGAAACGTGCTAGTGGCGGATCGGACGGGACGGTTAGTGAGGGCCAGAAGGGGGCTGTCACAAATTTGATGGGCATATAATTTATCAAATTGTTCACCTTTGCCCTAAACACTTTTAAAACGTGTTCTCTGTTCTGTTCTTCCTCTCACCGATTCTCTTCCTCTTTCGCCCAACTTACACTCTTCCTGTTTCTCTGTCTTTGTTTCTCTGCATCACCTGGGTAGCATATACCTTAGGAGCTGTCCGCAAGCATCTGTCCGTTGTCTGCGTACACTCAGTGACGAGTGGATTTATTCGGGACGACATATAGCCCGGCTGGGAGCTGTCAGAGAATGCCGAAAAGACTTCAGTTGTTGCAGAGACACAGGCAGAGGGTAGGGTGGGTGATGACACCAACGGCAGAGGAGTAGGGAACGAGCTAGTAATCGAAAATAACACCCATCGTTGTCGTCGTCATCATCGTCGCCATCACCATCACCATCATCATCATCATCATATTATCATCATCATCATCGTCATCTTCATCATCATCATCGTCTTCATCGTCGTCGTCATCATCGCCGAGCTGCGATTATTTCTCATGCCAAAACAACGTTACCGCTGTGTTCTTTCACCGTCACTAACAGCACCAAAACTCCGGCTTCGTATGTTCCTCTTCCTTCTTCTCCTTATATATTTCATCTCTTACCTCTTTTAGCATTGGTATCATTGAGTTCATAATCACCATCATGTTCATCTTGATCACCATCATCAGCATCATCTTCACATTATTATTCGTAATTCTACAACGATCATCACTGACGTTGTTGTTTTTATCGACAGCTTTTTTTTGTTTTCTTATTTTTTTTCTTTTAACTGTCATCATCAGCGTGATTTTTTTTCTTGCTGTGACTACTTTTGGTTCGTTTTTTCTTTTTTTTTTTTACTTTTATCGTA